TCATAATTTCCTTAATCTTCCCCTGCAGAAAAATAAAAGCAAACAATGCGAAATGAAGGCGAACTACAGCATTATTAATCTGCGGGTCACATATGATCACGCCAACGAACTCATGATCAGCTCCAGTTTCATTCTTGAGGAACAAAATACACAATGTTTTTGTTATACTCTGTATACCGGCCGGATGGAAACCAGGTTGCTGGGTACAAACCTTTTTCATTTACTCGACTTTCTCCCTAAAATAATATTTTTTCCCTTCTAAGGGGTTATGTCAATGCGAGTTCCACATTTTTTGGTTAATTAGCTCAGCTGAATATTTTCGGTTTTTTTTCGACAACATAGGAGTTTTTTTCTTTCTTTTTTGCAATTCGTTTTAATCCTGGCCATCGAAGGGCGCAAATTCACCATTGTGATTGGCTTATATAGTGGGGTAATTTTCAATAAGACTAAACAATTATTGTTCTTTTCAACCGATCAATTTGTCTATCTAGCAATCTAGTGGGGTCGAGATTCATCGATCTACCAACTGATCAACTCATACCTTAATTGTGAAACTAAGGCTCTCAATGTTTTTTTTTTATAACCGTTCAGGATCGCTGAGTTTGTTTTGAACTGATTGGTCGGTAGGCCAGAGAGAAAAGGATCATCGATCTACCAACTGATCAACTCATACCTTAATTGTGAAACTAAGGCTCTCAATGTTTTTTTTTTATAACCGTTCAGGATCGCTGAGTTTGTTTTGAACTGATTGGTCGGTAGGCCAGAGAGAAAAGGCCCCCAGAACGAGGCAGTACTGAACCAGTTGGCAAATACGACGTGAGGGGAAACGCGAGTACTAAACAACCGCTGCAATAATAGGAACCTGTTCCAAAATGATGTATTTTTCCCGAGAGCTTGACCACTTACCCTGTTATCCTCTTCTTCAAGTACTTGAAGGTCAGAAACAGAAAAATGCTTGTCTCGGTCCACATCCATTACTCTAAACAACTTGAAAAAGGATAACAATAAACCACTGATGAGGAATTTGAGCGATTTGAACCTCTATAACTTCCATCGAGTTCAAACATCCAATGCAAGCCGTTATCTTGTTTTATATTCTGCAATTTTATTCGGTATCATTCGTAGCATACGTATACAATAACACCAGTTTCCGTTTTTAAACACTAAGAACGTTTTGAGTAAACTCACAAAAAGTTAATTAAAGGAAGACTGCAAACCAATAATATCCCAAGCTTGTAACAGTGAAAGTAGCAACCTGAGCTTTTAAGTACTTTCCCTCGCTTTTGCAGGAAGTTCTCTCGTTTGACCGCAGTGAATCTGTAACTAAGGCAAACTCTTTCGAAATTGTTCTTTTTAATACTGTACACGTTCCGAGGAGCTAATGTAGTATTTAATCCCATGTTCGTCAACTGAGGGATCGTTAGTGAGTGCTGAATTTCACGCCAAAAATAGCTACACCTCCCGTAGTCCCAACACTTTAAATTCCTAAATTCTTCTTGAACTTAACACCCTTGCTCTGTTACCTTCCTAGCTGTTGCCTTCAGTTCTTCAGTCCACTCTGTCAAGTCGTTGTCAAATAACAGAGGATCCTAAGAAAAAGTCAGTAAAACTAGAGATTAAACCCAGCTTTCCCAGGCAAACCGTAATGATCTAATAAGCGCCCTCTCTTAAATAAACTCCTCTTCCCAGTATAATAAACGCCTCCCTTCCGCTTTAAAGTTTGTATTGGACGTCCCTCTCTAATAAACGCCCCTGTCTAATAGAAGCCCACATGACAATTATTAAAAAATTTCAGGAAATAGAAAAAAGGAGCAAAATCATTCAATTTAGTCAGTTTCTTGCTTGATTAACAAGGGTTTCGCGTGGCATCTTATTCAAAGTAAAGTTCAAAGGACAGACGACTAACGATGGTAAGACAATGACCCTGAATGAGTATTCTGACGTCGAGGTTGATATTTGAAGAGTGATATGGACCATTAGTAGATCGTTTACAGTATACATGTAAGATACCTAAGATACCACCCCTTTTTCAAGTACTTTGCCGATCATTTTCAGCGAAAAATATGGAGGAGGAGTTTTAGGAAGGTGCCCTACTATGAAAAACGACTTCGAGAAACTCCTCGAGCTCCGAACGTCTCTTCGAGTACATTTTCTTGAAAATTTAGGAAAGGTCTAAGTAAAGCTCACATTTTTACACCTCAGAGACTTCAGAAACCTTTTCCTGAACCTTTATAAATACAATCGCTTGTTTCTCCCCCGGGGGAATACTCCCCCTGTACGGGGTGGCTCCGCCCGAAGGGAGTACCTATTTTAGGCTGATCAGGTATATGAAAGGGTAGGGAATCTGTCATTTCGGTCTGTAAAAAGGCCGAAAAGGGCTAAAAGATGCATTTTATGGCTGTGAAAAAGTCGAGAAAACGATGTGGTTTTGTGATTTATTCATATTCATACAGTGCATTTACAGCACTTAAATGGGATGCAAAGTTCTAAAATAGGGTATGTGAAAGGGGTACCATTTCAGTTGTTAATAGAAGGTATACGATAGGGGTATACCTTTGCTGTAAAAAATGTATATAAAAGGGTGAGGGGTTGAGCCTCGGGGAGAAGCCTCTCAGTATAACACTTTGTTGAGTATCCCCAGGTCCTCTTCACATGACTTTATTACGGCAGTCATGTCATGTACCAAAAATTCTTGTGCGAGACGGAACTTTTTTCTCACGTTACGACTTTGCCTATGGTGTTTTCCACATAATACCGGAATAATGTCTTATAAAAAGCTGTTTACCTGCTCGTGGAGAATTTATTTATATACCTAAAAAATCTTCAGCTGACAATACCTTTCTTAATCTTCTTACAAATATCCTGTACGAAATTTCGTTCATCTTTCGAAGATAGCTCTGCAAATGGTTTCTGCAAAAAGTTGTTCAAACATTGTTAGACTAGTTTTGAACAATATGCATGAATTAGTGGCAGAAACCCATAATCGCAATTATTTTATTCAGACTGATTTGTTTACGAGCGTTCCTCAACAGGTATGGAAAAGGCATCGACAGGACAAACTACGCGTTCCAGAAAAAAATGAAATAAAAACATTAGTAATAATGATAACAATAAAGAAAACGAGTAGGTAGACACAATTATTGAACAATAAAAAGGGTGGAGATGGCGTACGATAGTAAGAGCTAGCAAACAAACATTTGATCAAACTCAAAGTGACCAGCAAAATACTTAGTATAACCATCAGTACCAGTGAGATTAATTTAGAAAACTTCTGTTTCAATTGTCCAGCATTTCCTTTTCAATAATTCCATTAAGTCAAAGAGGTGATCTTCAGCGTTAAATAACCAAATCAGCCGGGCTCGTCGAGACTGGCACGAGTGAACAATGATCTTTGCTAGCGCTCGGCCCGGCGTGATCTCGGCTCGTAAGCGACCGGTATGTGACAGAAATGAGACTGTAAGTTCCCTTCGTGCTTATAAACTAGTTCAGTCAAAGTGATCGAAATAACTGAATGAAAACATTTTTTGTCCTTCTTCAAAGGGATGAGCCATTCAACAACGAAAACAGAAGTAACAGGTGTTGTAGACCAATTTTAGACAATTGAACTGGTTAACGTGTGGTGATCACCAAGACGAACCGTATGGCTACCCCTTTTCCTTCGGAGAAAGAAGTTAGTATATATTTTCAACTTGTTTTATAAACCAATATGGATTATTACATTGTTATCTTACGATAGTTTTCACAGTAGAGAAGCGGCCACGGTTATAAATCATATTCCGCTAAGCAGAGAACATCCAAAATAGGCTGACTCTTTTGCTTTGTACAGCGTAGCTAGGCACCATAGTGACCGAAATATATTAAAATATATCTTCAGAAACATATTTGGTTTCCTCGGGTCTAATGATTTATTTAAGGTCATTTTGCAGTTCTTAAGTGCTAGACAATTTTTCAACGAATATTATTTCTTCTTGATTATTTTGTTTTGATGATTATTGTTGATGTAAATTAAGCACATTTTTGAAAAGACCCGTACCCTAGACACGGATCTAAAGAGCATAATATTCACGAAGTCGTCCTAGCGATATCGAAGATCAAACTTTCATATACGTTCATAAACTGAGACACCCCGTTCTCAATGAAGGAGTGGCGTGTATGGTAACAGTCTCCGTACACCGCCGATGCCGATCAGGCAATTTGCTTGGAAAAAAATTAAATAATAATAATAATAATAATAATAATACTTTTCATATACTTTGGGACTCTATTCCTTTCTGATTAATTCAGTTGTGATATCATAATATTGATCTACTAACTGATAAATTTCTGAAAATTGATTGGTCACGAACAGTGGTCTTACAAGCTATTTATAATAATTGCATATGAAAATTATGGGGTAATTTTTGATGTCCAGGAGTTATTTACGCCTGCGTGTATAGTAATTGAAATTACTATACATGTAATCGAACAAGACGCATTATTTTTCATTTTCACGCCAGTTCGCGCCTCGAACGTTTAGCCTCTGCTTTCAGTATTTGAAAACCAAGCGTCTGTTACAAATGGAAAAGTCAGCAAATTGTTCTCAACAATTTCACGCCTTCTTTTGGACAACCTCGTTCTCAGGGTTTCCTTTAAGTTCTCTTCCTTCCTCAAGAACGAGGTTACCTTTTGGATTCCTCGTCATAGCGGAGTGTCATAGCCGCAGGGGTGCCCCATACCTAAAAGAGAATGGACAGGAAACCTATCTATCCCAGAAAATGTGCCTATGATGTCAGCGTACGGAAGTCCGCCCGTACAGACTCTTTGAATAACTACTTTTAAGGTGAATTTCCATTCTCGCGCGTAAACATAAAAGTTAAATACCTCTCTCAACTTTTAATTTATGTTTGCTACCCTTTATATATTGTCTCTATTTAAATCAGCCATTAGTAAAATCAGTTAAAATTTACCCCCATGCGCACATAAAAAATAAAGCTGGAGTAAAAGTTCACCTTCACTCGTACTTACAACATGTCTTGTTCTCTTGACTCCATTAACTCATCCAGTGAGGTAAAATTGAACTTTTCTAGCGTCTGATTCGGTTCCATTCCATCGCAGTTCTGTGGTATGAACTTCGGAAAATGATGCCACCATAGATTCACAGCTATGTTTCGTCCATACGACCGAACTTGATGAAACCTTTCAAAAGCAAAACAAACTCATATTGCTAGTGTCAGGTTTTTAGACATTCTCAGCATCAACAAATTTACCAGTTGTTACCGAGTTTCAGTGGAATCATTGTCTAGGGTAAAAGAAGAGGGTCCTTAGGCCCCGCGCACACTAATACGCATACAATTCGACGCGTTTAGGCCTTCCGTCCGCACTAATACGCTGAGCGTTTTCATCGAAAACGCATCGATTTGAAAACGTTTGTGAAACTAAGTGGATCAAAACGAAAACGCATACATATCGTATTAGTGTAGACGGTCGAAAACGCATCGAATGAAAAGAACGACCGAAAATATCGCAGGCGCGTTGGATTGTAGCATGCGCAAAGAGTTCAACTTGCGTCACAACGAGCAATTCCATACCGTTTTGTGGACAGTCGAGATGGCATGAAAACGGTAGTGTGGACACGAATCGATCGATGCGTTTTCGATGACAACGAAAACGAACTAGTGTGGACAGGGCAGCAACAAATAAAGCAGGCCTAGTACCTATTCTTTTCGCAAAATGTCACGAGACAGTCGTAAATTGGCGTGAACAATACTTTCGGAGAATCTTCTTTAATTTTGCAACGTCAATGATTGCAATATTCGATTCTCACGACTACAATATTTTTTGTGTATCTATCAGAATTCATTAAGCACCTTATCCAAAACAGCTCAAAATGTAAAATATTCTCTGGCCAAAAGTAAGGACACCTTCAAAATTGTATTCTCTAAAACTTAATTTTTACTACTTATTTCAATTGTTTATTATTGTTCTTAGTGTTTTGTTTGTCCCTCGAAATCACTCGGTAATTCAAATGTACTGCGTGAAAAGATGATTCGGACTGACAATGATTCGGCGTTTTATTTTACATTCAGTTTTTCTAGATCTCAAGTTAATAGAATAATTACCATCTTTGGGGAATGAACAGACAATCCCCTGCCTGCATAGTCACATTGTAATATTCCACGTCAATAAGTCCAGGATATTTCTCAAAGTCCACCCTAAAGACACAAATACAACACCGATAAAGCTACTCGCAAATCTACATTCTCCACCCTAGAAACTCGTGCCCCCAGGAAAGAGAAACATGATCGAGGGTCTGGGGCAAGAACAGGGTTACCTTAGACTAGTCTCCTTGCGAGAATGAACTAATTTTTTTGCTAGCTTATCATGGCGGTTAGATTGTGCCAAACACTAAAAGTGATAAGCTAGATCACAAACTTAATTCTTGCTTTCGTTTTAAAGCACCTAAAAAAATATCGCGACGATATGAGCATGACCGGGCTCCTCGCCGCCTGCTTAAGCACATCCGATTTCTCCCGACTGTCACCCATTACGCACACCAAATAAATTGCAATTTAAATATTTAAAGGTCAGAACAATATGGAATCATGGGACTCTCTCTCGGTCAGAATGAGTTTATCCTTCTTAAAAACTGACTTTCCGAGAACTGCTGGAGATTCTATCTTAGACTTCAGCGATTAGAACTTTCTAACTTGGTAGTCTGTTTTTTGAGTGCAGTATGTAATGTTCTGTCTCGGTTATTTCATCTACGCATAAGGTGCGTAATCGTCCGCCATTTTTTTGGAACTCCACCAAACAGTTCAGATGATATCCTATCTGATATTATACCATTGTCGTCAACAATCGCAAAATAAAAGCAAACACCTTTCAAATTTCACCAACTCTAACTAGCTATCAAGAACTAGCTGTGGGACTTAAGCCAATCAAAAAGAAAGGAATATTTTGGATTGGCAAAAATAAAAGTTTATAGCCTTCATATATATACCTGTCTACGTCCACACCGGAATAGCCATCCGCCGGAAAATCAATGGGAACCTTTAAGGAAATATTGTTTTATATTTAGAAAAATTCGTTATTACAAAGCTAATAGAGACCTTTAGATTCAAGGACGAGGACGACTTTTTAAGAGTACGAGATATGCCTGAAAGTTTTTTCCCGTATTCTCAAAATATAGACTTCCCGGAAAGCTTCATTTCACCATTTTTCACTAGAAAAAGCACTGTTGCTAGCACGGTTTTATCTTTAGTGAACGAGGTTACTCCCTCTCCCGATCGCAAAATGATAAAATTTCTAACATTTGATGACTTGTTTCCGCCAACTTCGACATTCTCGTTAAAACTCTTACTAGAGTGACGACGGCTACCACGTTTTCCCGCCAAAATGACGCTGGTTTACGCGCGAGCACTTCTTAGTATTGAGGAAATCTCGTACTTGTTGTCGTACTCGTCTTAGAATCTAAAAACCCATTCACACTGATTAAACTAGATTTATATTGGAATATGCGTTTCAGGTTATTTTATCATATTCCTAGCTGAAGCTAATTCTCTTTGGCTACCCAGCAGGCAAGATCGGGCTAGAAGTAGCCTTTTTTGTTTACGCAGAAAATTAAATAAAAGCCGCTCTATTGGCCAAGCTTTGTTAGTCCGAGATACATGAATGTTGGCCTCTTTTTTATCTGAGAGAAACCTTTTTAGTCTTATGTTGGCTAGCTTAGCCAAATTGCATGTTTTTCAAGAGGGTTTCAAAGACTTTATCACAACCATGATTTAGAGTTTATCAAAAAACAGCCATAGGGTCCTAAATCTCCGAGGGAAAAACTACATTTTTAATCCAGAATAACTGGTATTATAAAGGGTACAGATATCTTGAGTGAAGAACCGGTGTCATGTCGTTGTTTTATCAAGGAATGATTTAATATACTGATATATTTGAATTGCGGGATGAAGCAGGAAATAAATGCAGAGAAGATCATCCCAGTTAAATACGCACCTTATGCTGTTGCAAAAACAAGGCCTGAAAACATCTCAGGCTTGTCGGGATTCGGTTTCATTCAAGGTTTTTCAAAATCCTGAGCACTGCGCGTGATACCGGTGAGGCGCATGCGCACTAACCAATTGAGCTGGCGAGTCAACTGGGAGCTGGTCATTTGTTCGTAATCAACCCGGGAACTGATAATTATGCAATTATGAAAATCGTTCAGGAGTCTAACATTTCTTCATCAATCCAAAATATGTTTTAAAAACAAGTTTTTTCAACGATTTCCTCTCTAAATTTGAGATGTCCTGGGGAGAGCTGAAATAAAATCCACCCTGAACAACTTTCTAAAGCCAAACTATCCGTATAAGACTACTGTATCGTCATGTAAAGTACTCGACAGAAGCGTAAATAATAGATGAATAACAATGAATAAAAATTCAAAGGCAGCAATCCACGTAGTGGTTCTTTGTCTACATGATTCCTGGTCGAATTAGAATTTGAAAATATTAGTTTTTGAGGAGATAAGAAAACCGGAAGGAGAAAAACCTCTCGGAGCAATCAACGAAGATAACCAACCACAAACTAAATCCACTTATGGCGTCGACGGTAGATGGCGTCCTATCAGAACTATAGTCTTGCTACATATCGAACTCACGAACTTCCCAGCGAGCGGAGCGAGCTCTTTAGGCCGCAAAGCGGTCAACCGAGCGACGCAGAATCGAACGAAGGACTTTTTTGAAAGCCTATATCAGAACGAGCTGGGAGTATTTTCGAAGTACTCAACGTGGGAGGGGGAACTGGCCATTTCCGAGTTCAAAAAACTCTCATGACGAGGCTAAACGTAAAACCTTTCTTGGGAAAATGATTTTTATTTGCGTGAGGATTAAAAACTCATTTACTCAGCCTCGCTTTCAAACAGAGGCTGGGACAACTCGGAAATGGCCCATTGGACAAAATAGCGCCTCCCTCTGGCTATCAGCGGGCCATTCTAGAGGATGTATTGTAAATGTAGTATATAAAATACGATGTTAAATGAGTTAGCGTACCACGTGTTTGTACTTTTGGTAATCAATGAATAATAGTTCCTTAGTCCCTCTAAACAAACAGTTGATATTATCAAGTCCATCGTCAAGGTGTAAAACAGACTTGGTTCCTCCACTGCTAAACCACATCACCTGTAATAAGAGAGAATATACTGTAAGAAGGACAATAACACTGAAAGAGTTCAATAAGTCCTGGGGGATAAACAAAAAAATTATACGGAGAGGCTCCGTACGGAGGTCCAATCCCTTAAGCTCCCTTACCCTTGGTCCAAATGGTCACACTACACAGCCGCGCAGTAATCCCCTGTTGGCCAATACCTTACGCACGCGCACAACCATATCACTTGAGCACATATTATGCATATTGTTATAATATTACACTGATATCAGCTGGTTATTACTTACCGCGTCGGCTATCATGTCCGCTTCCGTGATATCTCTGCACAACAGAGGGGGAGGAAGTACTATATCTTTCCTACATGATATAAAAATAAAAAAGTAATTACTGGCTTGTGCCCCAAGCCAGGCACAGAAAATTTCATGCAGAGGAATCGGCTTCTTTTTTTTGAGACATTTGCCATGTTTGCTATTGCGTGCAATAACATTTTATTTGAATTTTGGATTTACGCCAACCCTGTGGCCATTTTTTGCTACATTTGCTATAATCATTTCCATCTCTGGACCATAATCATTGTTGATCATGGATTATATTACTGCGCTTATGTTTAGTTGCTAGGCTAGAAATACACACATGATTGAATACAAACGTAAATGAATACACTAAACAAAGTAACGCGGAAAAAAGCTTAAGTGTTTTTTTCTAATTAAAGTCCTCTTGTGCTATAACTACCCAACAATGAGGCAAAACGGCGGGGGTGGTTTATTTTCACATCTTAGTCTTTTTGGAAAAGGACGTTTGGAGCCCACAGGATCGTAAAACACCCTGTTAAAAAAGTTAATTTCCCGTTTTTGTATATGTAATCCGTGACTGAAGGATGAACAGTTAGTACGGGTAACCACTAGCAGTTGAGCGGTGGCCTAACTTTTATTTCGGTCATTTTGCTATATTTTTAAAAAGGTAAAAAGTGTTTTGGTATCCGAAAACAATGGTCCAGTTTTGGTTTTTTAGACTATATTTTAGCCTGAGAAAACAGCCGACATTTCCACCACTGGTTTCCCCGCGAAATGATGTCTGAGAAACGAGCGGAGAATTCCATACGTGTTACTATCCAGATCTGGGAAGTGCTTCTGATTGATTGAAGCAACCTTCTCAAGCGGCACGACCAATCAAAAGTAGTACTCAGATCTGGGTAGTGACGCATCATCAGTATGGAATTTCTGCGCTCATTTCTCAGACGTGATTTCGCGGGGAAACCAAGCTAAACCAGTGGTAGCGTCGCGAAATATCGGCTGTTTTATAGGCTAACTGTAGGCATTGAAACTCTTCCAGTTTCCTTTTGCTTCGGATGATGATGATGGACACGGACTAAAACTTTAAAAAGTTGGCCCAACTTAAGTTTTAGCACAGAAGTGACCCTAAACGGCCATATCCTTGTGACATAGTTCCTTTAATAACAAGCTATTTTGGAACTAAACAAAAGATATTACGACAAAATCAGTCAACTGTAAACGACGGATATTAACAGTGCAACAATAGTACGACATTCATCTTAGTAAAAACGCATAAATCAAATTCTTTATACCGAGATTTACAATGATTTTTAAACAGAACTAACTTCAATAACCCACCTTATAAATTCAGGAACACTGCTGACCATATAGATATCCTTTTCCGTGTACGTCTTGACAAAATCACTAAAGGACATTTCCTCTGGAGGAACTGTTCTCTTCTCCTTCTTTCTTTGTTCCGCCTGGATTTTGTGCTCGCTCGATTCGGGAAGCGACAAGAAATACTCATCCGTCCATTTTTCAAATGCTGACGACATTTTTGCTCCATTTTGGATCAGAACTGGTTTACTTCCGTCCACGTATGTTCTGAAAAATGTTTCAGGGTCTGGAAAACTTTGAATCACTTCGACAGAACGTTTTGTGTTCTTCGCGCCAAGCTCTTCCAAATGACCCGGAATCGAGGCAAAATCGCGAGTTGTTTCTACGTCGGGTTGGGCGCTATTCGCCCACTGTAAACAAACCGTGCCTAGGGTTGTAAAACCGAGAAAAAAGTAGAAAGATAGCATGACTTAAAGAACACGTGTTACTTTACTATGCAAGATTGGAATACGAGAACTAGATGCAACATCAATATATATATAGTAATGTAGTCAAGTATGCATGAATTTTATACTTTCTAATTCCGTCACGAACTTATAATTCTAAGTTGAAAGGTTGAAAAACTCTCAAAGTGTTAAAAGCCTCTCTCTTGAAGACCATTTCGTCCAGTTATATTCACTTAACTTACATGCATTTCTCAGGAAGATAATCGTTTTTTTTTTTCACTTGTGTGGGGTGTGAAGTGAGAAAACTATTCCAGTTCAATATTAGACGAACGGAACTTCCATCGTACAACAAGTCATGTATAAAATTACTAACTTTTATTAATGCAAGTAGACTGGCTCCTGAAGTAGAGTAGTAGTGTAACAACTTATACTTTGCCCTTCGGCATTAAAAAAATGAACCATAACAATCAAAATTTTCACGTTAGCGTATGTTTTTGCATGCTTATTACTACAAATACTAAACTGAACTTATTCCAAAATTTAAACAAATGTACACGTTTGTACAATATACCGTGCGCACTAAAAATAACATAACATGATAACAATTTTTTAAGAAATTTCGATGTATTTAACTAATAGAACTTAATAAGGGAATAGAAAAATTAATAGATAACAAGTTTAGTTATACAATATGCAATACCATAATAACAATAATTGCTCTTTTGTAAAAAAGTATGATAATATTAGCTTTATTTGTCCTATTCTTGGTTTGCAACCACGTGAAAGCGGCCATATTGGTTTTCAATACAATAAGGTTTTTTCGAAGAATTTACCCGAAAATTGAGTTTAGTTTCCCAGTGGAGAGGAATTCTTTTGTTCTTGACCTGGCCCCAGTTGTTCAAAAGGTGGATAACGCTATCCACTCCACTGGATAAATCTTTATCCGGTGGAGTGGATAGCGCAATTGGTTTCCCTAATACTTATCCGCTGGATAGTGATTTATCTGGTGGATACTGAGTACTCTGAGCGCTATTCAACGTTTGAACAACCCAAGCCAGGCCAATATGGCAGCCATCTCGTCCAATTTTGGCTGTCCTCGGAATTGTTAAGGACTGACAGGATAAAAGCAATGTCACGTGGTTTCTCATGGGGTAAGAGGGGGAGTGGAGGCAAACAACTGTCGTGATAAAATCTGCAAATACAAGGAATCGCGGTCAATGTCGTACCCAGAGCCCAGTTCTGGCTTTTTGGTCACCAAAAGACTCTGGGCACGCGATTGAATCGCGGTCCAGTTTGTTTATTCTAGACAACCGAAAATGAAGAACTTTTTATCTTAAAGACGATAATGGCTAATTATAGTTTAATCAAAGAGATCGTTGTTATTTTATTGAATGCGGTAGACCGCAGATGTCCTCACCAGCAGCAAGCGGCAATAATGACGTGAAACGTGTCGAAAGTGGAACTGTACGTTTTGCAAATCTAAAATTTTCGTATCATTGACCAAGATTAAGGTATTCTTTCCTCATTTTAAAAGTATGGAAATTCGCTTCTTTGGATCCAATATTTATTTCTGTATTTGTTCACCTTGATCATAAATTTTTTTTCACTTTTGTTTTAAAAGTTATACAAATAAAAAATGGTAGTTAAAAGGACATTACAAAATCCTCAGTTCTTATCCTTTTGCCTATTGACCAGCACCAAAAATAGTGATGGAAAGAGCTATTACGTCTATCAGAAATCACTTGAATTCGTAAACATCAAAGGACCGGCTCAAACACCGTTAATGAGCCGAACTCAATTGACTCCATGTTTGGCTTTTCAACCGGTGAAGTCACATCAGCGCTGAAAGGCAAAGCTGATTGCTTTTGGATGAGCTGAGGCGCTGTTCACGGCTGGAATTGGCGCTATAAAAAACGCCTTAGCAGATCCAAATACAATCCCGCGTCAAATACGGGCCTGGATTCCTGGGGCGAGATCAGCCGAACTTACGTACAAGGGACTGTAAAACTGGATCAAACGCCGTATTTAACAAGAGCAGTTTCTGAGATTTCTTTTTTAAAGTTCGGTTTCTTCTAGTTAATAAGGGTTTTGACCAAACAGGCGAACTAACAATTTACGTCGACTCAAACTGTTGTTAAGTCCAGTTCATGCCTGCGAAGTACAGCGTTTGATCTGAGTCTGAGATTTTCAGGAAAAATTTGGAAAGCCGCCCAAGAAATTAAAAAATTCTTAAGGCCGGTTTTGAATGACCGAACAGATGCAAACTTTTATAGCGCTGCCGCTTTTTAATTTGGATAGATCGCCTTAACCATTTTATAGCATTTGGATGATAGCCATCTCTGATTATCCTATCTGAATTTCCTCGTAGCATGCACATTTACACACACAGCCTTCCCCCGTTGAGCAGGCCGCAAAAACAACAGCACTAACACTGTTTGTTTGAATTACCATTTACAAAAAGTGTACTAAAATGCTAAAATTTGCCGCTACACATCGTGCGAGCAGAGGTTATCGAGAGGCTACGTGTTCACTGCGTGAACTGGGGAACTATTAGTTACCCTTCCCATTGAAGCAGCTCTACAATCCTCTTTAGTTGCAAGTCACGAAGCTATTCTGTTCCAGTTTCCGGAGTCTGAGTGTTCACTTTTCTATACTAAAAGAAAACTCTCTTCTGGTTTCAACAATCTCGCAGCTCCTTAAATAACTGCGATTCAACTCGCGAACCTCCGTGAAGCGAAAGCGAGGGCGCCGCAAGCATTTGATAAAAGGCGGGAAACATGGCCCGAAACGTAATCACCGCTGTGGCTTTTGAATGAACGTATTATTTCTCTGGCACTGGAGCTGGGGAAACTGGGGTGTTTCTTTGCCATTTCCTGAAGTCAGAATTGTCTGGTATGCGCCCTAGACTTCTGAACTGTATGTTAATTTCGGGTAAACCGAAGGGTGATTAAATCAACCTATATCACAAACTAGCACACATATAAGTTCCTAAGGATAGGGGTGAAAAACTTTGCTGGGATTTTCATGTCTAAAAGATCCCTGTAATATGGCTAGCTCGGGCATAGGAGCCATGAAGACTATTAAAAAGTTTGTTCGTGCAGATAGCACTTCTCCGGACACAATCTATGAGAGGTTGGTACAGCCTGACTATAAATATTTATTGTTCTGTGTGGGACCGGCAACATGCATCCAATTACTAAAAGTTAAGCTAAAGAGATTACAATCACGAGAATTACGGCGTGCTGCCAAAGATCTTACAGATGCAGTCATGATACGTGCTCCGCCGATCTAAATTGCCTCTCTATTGTGGGATGCACTTGATGCAATGCGGCTCTTTGCAAGTCAATATTAATATTAACTTATGAAACACTAAATGACCACACTCGTCCCCCGGCCTTAAGAACCCTTTTTTTTAGGAATGTCGATCAGGTTAACTACCATCTCCGCCGTGACAGGGTTACTTTTTAACATAGCAGTGGTGTTATGCCCTGGAACAACTTTCAAATGAAGCAGGAGCCCATCAAATTTGATTGGCTCCTGAATGAAGCGTGAAACAAGCGGACTCCAGGTCTTGTTCTTTTAAAAGGTACATTAGACAGATGTAGTTAGGTCATACAAAGCTGAATATCTTTATAAATATCTTTATATATTTCCTTAGTTAGCCTTAGTCTTAATTTAATATTTTGCACTCATTGTCCTACCTCGAATAGCCTTGCTAGCTGCGGGCGATGTTACTCGAGACAATTCGCAACGACGATTTTTAGCGCAACACAGCGTTGCAACATTGTTGCGACATTGTTTCAAATAGTTACAACACTGTTCCAACATTGCAACGCCGTGTTGTGCTAAAAATCGTCGTTGTGAATTGATTATAGTAGCAGTAGCAGTAGCAGTAGCAGTAGTAGTAGCAGTAGCAGTAGCAGTAGCAGTAGCAGTAGCAGTAGCAGTAGCAGTAGCAGTAGCAGTAGCAGTAGTAGTAGTAGTAGTAGTAGTAGTAGTAGTAAGTCTGTTGTTGTTGTTGTTGCTTTTATCTTTTGCAGTTTAATACTGGTCTTATTCTAGTTTAGGAATTTAAAATAGTCTTAGTTTAGAAATATTAGTTCTAGGATTTAATCTTTTTACTCAACAGCTTTTATGTGAAAACAAATATGGTCTCCATTCGAAACCAGCCATGATGCCTTCACTGCCATTGAAACCTTCTATTCCCTCTTACACGAGCTAAACAAATTGCAAAACTTGACAAGTGGATGACAAGTTTTTTTACAAGTTTTATTGATTGAAAATTGTCCTTGTTCAAAACTTGAAAGGTTTGGATTAAAAGAAGGACACTTCAGTTAAGCGGAAAACTTGACAAGGAAGAATATTCCCCGGTGCAAAGAAAACCACTGCCCAAGAATGCAAAAAAAAACCGTCGTCCGGTTGAAGTGCTTTGCTCAAGCTCCCTATATTATTCTCTCCCGCAATGTTTGAATGACTTTAAAAGTCTTATTGAAGAGTGGGGCTTATTAGAGAGGGAAGGCTTATTTCATGTGAAAGCCCCTGGTAATCCATTTGTTAATTGAGTGGTATACTGAAAACAGAAGGATGCTTTGCTTATGCTTAAATCACTGTAGCAGCACGACTTTTTAAAAATATCAGTGGAAAATCGCCTTTTGAAGCAAGTCGAGCTGTTTTCTGGTCACTGATGCTTTGAAAGGTTTCCCCTGCAAAGGTTGAATGAGTACTTACCCCTCCCCACCCTAAAAACACCCAGCTACCCCCGGGAGTGGTATGCCGGTCACAAGTATAAGACCGCAGAGTTTTATGGGATAGTAGTAATGGCGGCGTTTCCGGCGGTGGCCGCAGCGATCCATAAAGACACTGAATGTTCATGGAAATCTTTATAACAGATTAGTTTAGGGTAAGTTGTTTGAATTAGTTATTTTTTATTTTTATTTTTTCGCTTTTTGTCGTACACTGAGAAGTCAAAGTCGGGTGAGGTAGTTAAAATGAAAAAGACGTTCCAAGCTTCATTGGCTTTTGTAAGCTTACGTCATCATTGATGAATATGCCCTCTTCGAAACTAGTCAAGTGAGGAATAAATTGAAAACGGCGTCCTGAGTTACATGCTAGCGTTATCGAATTCACTTTGTTGGCCTTTGCTCGATTTGCTTGCTAAATGTACATCAGAAGACGCTTCCTCGCAAAATGTTTCGCTACAGGCAGCCAAGACGTACTCCATCTCAATACCGGTCATGTTATTGACAAAGAGAGGATCAGAGCTAGAGCTATTAAAAAGAGAGTCGACTATCTTTGACTGAAGGGGAGTCAAAAAATATATATAATAGTTCCAATTAAATATTCCTTTACCATTATATCATTTCCTATGATTAATTATCCTGGTTAATTTTTAACTGAAATTACGATCGATCCTCTGTTTGGGCCGATCCCCAGTACGAGCGGACAAATTGGAATTTTACCCGAAAATGATAGGGTGACAATTTTGGTTTGAAAAAAAGTTATCTCCACTGGAACTTGTTTACTCTTATCAGGCCATTACATCTGTCATTACTTTAATGGAACGAATTATGGAAACAAACAATTGACAAGAAAAACACTATTTTGTTTATTTAAGAGTCAATTTTGTCCAGTTTCGCCTGGGACAAATTTTGTCTTGGTGCCTTTGAAGACTGCCAGGACAAAATTTGTAAAATCACGACAAACCTTCCGCATTTGTTAGGCGTTGGTGATGACAGAAAATTTGCCTAAATCAACAGCTTTTTCACTAGTGTGGATTGGCCCTTTCTTTTCAAATTCAACACCCCAATCTTGCGTGCTGCTACAGCCAAAGGTTGTATCAATGGATCAGACTAAATGGAACCTAAACATGAAAATATTACAAAACAAGGCTCACATATCTATACCTTAACGTCTCCTTGTTGTTCGTGGCCAGTTTAAATGACATTTTGTCAACCCATAGGTAGTTAACACTTAATAATCAGTAAAGGCTGGTTACAGGGAAAATAGCTCATCTTAACTTGAAGGGCCATAAATTCCTGAATAATCGACAGATCCACTTTGACCTTTTCGCCCTGCCATAAGCCGCGTAACAGATAGGCATACTACGAGATTGAATATTCAATGTTAATAACTGCGTTCACGCAACAAGATTTTCACAAAACAGCACTTGCTACGGGAGGGGCGATCCCTAAATGTGTGATTGGTTTAGAAATAGTAACACTGAGTACATCTGGGTGTCCTGTGGTTTTGCAAGTGCTTGCATACTTGGCTCTCGTTTTGTTACAGAACACATAAATATTTGAATGTCTCTGAACTCCTATAAATATGGACATCAAGTTTAGTCATAGGCATACACTTTCCAGTGGTGTTGACTAGCAAATTTTTCCTAACTTGTCCATGTCAAAAGTTTAACAAAACTGTGGAAGGGTCTGTTATCAGAAAAAGTCATGAAGCTCCATGACTTCCATTTTGTTTTTAAAAAATGTAGTTTATTTTTTTTCTTATTTGATTGACATAGCCTTTCTGCTGAAAGAAATACAGGGAGAGCTTGTGGTCAATTTTCTGTAATTACTGGTATTCTCAGTAAAATTAATGGTTGCAACCCAGGGCCCAGTTGTTCGAAGGCCGATTAGCGCTTAACCCAGGGTTAAATTTAACCCAGGTTTCTTTTTCTTGTGTTCAAAAGCATTTTCTCGGATAATTTTCTCTGCTATTTTTAGAGCTTCTAATCATCAACTTGTAGACAAAAAGAATTAAAAGTGAAATGCCCTATAGGGTTCAAATCTTAATTCAAATCTCGCACTAACCCTGAGTTATCTTTACCCAGCTTTGAACAACTCGGCCCAGGAGCATATATCAGTGGTGTATAGTAGTTAATATGAATTACAGACTGCCAACTGTGGACTGTGTATAATTAATGCAGTATGGGTATAGCGATATTTTGCATTACGTCACCTTTTGACATTAATGTGCCAACCAGGGTTTAATTGGCTCTTGAGACAATGGGTTCTTTTGTTTCAGTGGTTGGCAAATTTGAATAACATAAACATTGTATACAAACAAGGAATATTGCTATAAAAAAAACATGGGCTAACACAGACAAAGTGTGATTTTACAGCTGTAGGAAGTTAAATATGAAATAAACAGATTGTGTAGAATGTCCATTTGGGATTTCCTAGCCTCCCAAGCACACATTCTTTTGGCTTGTCACGCAATATCTTCTTCCCAAACATTGTTGTGGGGAAGTAACATATGACAAAGGTCTAGGAATGTCTGTTCGGGAGGCTCAAACTGTAAAATGACTGATCAAAATAATACTCTGAATGGGATAAAAGAGATAGAGGATTCAATTCACAGTTTTATATCAATAGAAAATATGGAACTCAGCACACGTTTGATTGACCTTATTCCAGAATGAGAGTAAAGGAATAAGCTCAAAGAAACCACTTGCTTTGGCATTCATTATTTTGTGTTGTAGCGTCAAGAAATATAGCTGTATGAAATATTCTGATGCATCTAACACTCCAGTGGCCCAAATATCACGGTAGTAGAGATTTGTAACAAAGCTTCTGTGTAGTCTAATACCATTAATTGAATGCACCCTAAGAAGCACTAAATTTCATAGCAGAAATACTGGTTTATATTTTTAACCAGATCTTGATTCTATGTAGGGACAGACTCAGCTGTAGTTAAATGCCCTTTCTTTTTTCTCTTAGGTGTGCGGTGGTCCTAGTGAGACCAGTTCAGATGCACAGATGAGAATAAGGAGGCGAAGACTGATCATTCGTATTGTAATTCTGCTGGCTTTAGTGGGACTCTATTTTTACATCAACCTACAAAATTTTGGTTACTACACCAACAGATTTTGGAAACCAGTTGTTAGGTGTCGTAGCAGTGAGGAAGAAATGAATCAGCTTCTTGACCTTACATATCAAATTCACAAGATATTAGACGGCATGAGTATCAGACATTGGTTAATGTATGGCTCAATCTGGGGTGCACTACGCATAGGCAGACCCCTTCCATGGGACAATGATGTTGACATTGGATTTGAAGGTGAAGGTGTATTTGCTGACATGACGATGAGTGAATTTGTGGCCCCTTTTAAAGCAGCAGGATTAACAGTGACTAACAAATGGCTTCAGAGTGGAACTATTGTCATTTCAAAAGAGGGTCTGTGGTTATCTGTGGATTTATTTGCATTTTACGACGATAGGGGAACAATGAGAAGAAGAGGACTGGAGTCGTGGGTTTTTGCCCTGAACTACAGGACATATCATTCATTTCCAAAATGGGTTGTGGAGCCAGAATTGCCAAAAACAAAGTTTGGATTCTTCAATATCTCCATTCCAAAAGGAGGCATTGAAATATTGAAGCACCTGTATCCATATAACTGGTGGAAAGAAGTTCGACCTGAAGGATGCTAGTACAAGCTTGAAATTTTTCCAGAAGATTAATTTTTTATCATAAGGGGGAACTGAATTCTTAAAGACTAAAATAGTTTTACTTTTGATATTAAACAACAAGATTCATGTGTAGCACACATTTCCTACTCTGCAAACGATGGAATGAGGTCCAGGCATGGTTGGACATTATTAACAAATCACTGTATTTTGTCAACCCAAGCCTCCAGGTCTTCTTGTTTACTGAAATGGTCTGCATAATATTATTTATTATTTATTTGTTTCTGCTATTTTGATTTTATATCTGAGATTGGGCAGTGGTACACAGAGCAATATTGCAAGTTATATAGAGATATAATAAGAGGGAGATGGTCTTGTAATTCTCCAAATATTTTTGCAGTGTTGTAATTATGATATTATGGGCTCTTTGCAGAATATGATCACATGGGACAAAACCATGTTGCTGGAACACAAACAATGAAGTGGGGCAAGAAAAACAAAGAGATAACATCATTCAAAAAGCTAATATCCTTTCCCCTCAAGGTCCCACCCATTGTTTCTGTACCACATGGCCATTTTTCTGCAAAGGCTGGGCCCAGCGACAACTTAATCCTATTTCCAAAGTCAAACCTAAACAACATTTCAAAATCTCATTAAAATTGTAAAATGAAAACACAATGGTCACATCACAGAATGACATAAAAGTTAGAACTGCATTGTAGCTCTCCCTTATTTACTGTGGGTCAGAGTGAAAGCTGGGTTTAAAGGGAAAAAGGAAAGGAGTTTTTCTCTCTTGCTGGCATGGGTAAAAAGTGAGGAAAACACATGAACTCTTTTGAGTTGCTCACTATCAGTAGCAAAATTTATTTGACACAACTCAAGTGCCGACAAAATTTACAGAATACACAGGGTTTGAATAGATTTAACCCTTTAAGTCCCAATAGTGACTGAGATCAAATTTCTCCAAACAATATCCACACACTGTCAAGAGATAAGTTTTGAGAATTAATAAAATGATCACACAAGAGAAAATGCCTTGATCTATTATCAAATTCTCTCAACCCATTTTTTAAGGAAATGTATAGAGATCAGTTTGGAGAATTTGTATGTGGATATTGGGGCTTAAAGGGTTAACAAGAAATTGAAATAAAAGTTTCTTTGAGGATGCATATGAAGTTGTGATAACTTGTCTTGAAACCCTAACACACATTTGGTTTCTTTCACCAAAAATGATTCAAATGATTATTATTGCCTAATGGGAAACCTTTGCTAATTATAATAAATAAATAAATAGATATGAAATAAATAAGCAAGTAGTAATAATGTATTTCCTTATGTTTCGGTGACCTCAGGATGCCATTATCAAGGAACGAGTACATGCTTAAGGCGTTTTTTAGTAGCTAGGCTCCACATTACTAAATAACATGTAAAGATTTGAGTGATTATTCATTTAAGTATTTTAACCCTCGGACGTACACACAAAGTCATACCCTCACTGTGGTACAAGGGGACGGGGGGGGTAGGTTGATGAAACCCCGCCTTGAGTTTTTGATATGTTGCAGTATTTCGAAACGATTTTGCCTTCAGTGGAAAGCCTTTGATCTTCTCTATAAGATGAGTTATATTTTATGGGTGGTGGTGCTGCTGGAGGTCTGTGAAGTCACCAAACATGGTTGCCATCTTGGATCTTATCAAGAATTAGAAATCAGGTAAAAACAGTGAGAATTAATTTGCGCTTGACTTGTAAAATAACACATAAATAATTACTTTGCATCATTTTATCCACAAGTTTTAGTTTTATTTTTGAAAAAAGTTGAAAAAATGTGCATTTTCACTCAAAAATGACGTGACCTGCTACTTATGCCTTCATATCTCCTAACCATAGAAACTGACCATTGCTAAGCTTGTCTCAAAAAAGCATGCAAAGGATAAACAAACAGCTGCAGAAAACTTCAAGTGCTGATGTTTTATCATCTAGGAAAAAATCACAAAAACCTTGCTTGGGAAGGGGGGGGGGGAGGGTGGCAACCACCTCCCCCACTTGTACGTCCGAGGGTTAATAAACAACAGTTCACTGTCGTAGTTTTGCCAGCCTTTTGTCCAGCTCATCCTAAAAATGAAAACAAAAATCATTCAACATAATAATAATGAGTAAAATAATACTTTCAGCTTAAATAAAGTTAATGCAATTAGATGGCCTTTTTTAAGAGCATCTGCGGGGGATACAAACTCTTCTAGTCCTAAGTAAGACATACTCATAGCTCATGTGGCATTAGCTAGATTTTTCAATCCCATGAGAGATTAATTTTGATGTTTCCTTCTCTCACAACACAATGGCACAATGACCATGATCACATAATTATACCCCTCTCACTGAAGAACATTCTTTCACTGAGTATGCAAACTCACTATGTCTCTTTAGAGATAATAGCAATTTTGCTATCAACGAAATTCAAAGCTAAATTAGGTCTTTGATTGACTGATTGATTAAGCCTTTATAAACAATTACCTGCTCTGTAGAAGCTGTTCCAATTGGTTGCTGTTGCACAGCAGGGAGCTCCATATTTAATTCCAAGCTGAAAGAGATGATAAAACTGATAATGCAAATGATATAATTTTTTTCTGCATAATGACTTGTATTCTTATTAACGCTATAATATTGAGGATAAAAACTGGATGAGTTCAAAAAGTTGACAAACAATGATCGATCCGTGCAGCTCCTCCACTAGACATCCAAAGCTAAGGAGGGCTATTCCAGCTTTTCACACTCAATCAATGAAGCTTTTATCAAGGTAGTTTGTAAAGGTTTGAGCTAAGGTAAAAGGGTCCTTATCAAGGTTCAATCGACCAAGTAGCAATCAAGGTGAATGGCTTCATCTGAATCCTGATTAAAGCCCCCAGCTAGTGGATTTTTAATGCAAGCATTAATTAATTTTTTAACAATATTACAGGGCCTACCCATGTTCATCTGCCACTTGTTGCATAAGAGTGTCCACTTCTTCCTACAAAATAAATCCACACTGGTTTATGACTGATGCTACAGATCATGTAGTGTACTACATGCAAGAGGCAAAGTTGCACTTTCAGACAGACCAAAGGCACTGTGACATGCATTGAGAGCAAAAAGGGCATGCCAGTTACAAATGTATAAATTTTCCTTGTAAGTCTATCGTAAGTGAAGGACAGAAACATGAAGCAATATACATGTACAGTATATCTATAGTCTTGATTCTAGATAATATTTCTTTCCTTCACTTCATGAACGATTACAAAAAGAAGAATATTGAAACAGGGCTTTGAGTCACATCAGTGTTTAAAAGAAGGGCTATATCCCATTCAACAGTGCCACTGTCTGAGACTTTTCCTAAAAAAAGAGATTGAACAGAATTTTTTAAACACACCACTTTTAGCCAACCTTTTGGTTGAAATCTTAACAAGGGAAAGTTATGAGACCTGTGGCACTGTGAGTGTGGTGACGTCACTCATGGCCTGTTCCATGTGGCTTGACTGAACATCAAGGTTTTCAAACTGACGCTCAAACTTGTCCATAAAAGCAGAAACCTGAAGAAAAAAAATGAAACAAATCACTTTTGCTTGATTTTGAATAGGAAAGAATATGCTTGCTTTTAAAAGCATTTATAGACAGAGCTGATAATAAATTACCAAAACTAACCTTTTCTAAGTCCATGGTCTTCAAAGCTGAGTCCATTGATGCCACAACATTAACCATTGAACCATTTAGCTGTGAAAAATCACAAGGAGCCCACACAATGTGTGTGTGTAACCGATTGTTATTTTATAGTTATGTACTGGATTTATTATTTGCTTCACCTATAGCGATAGATCGCTATAAAATATGTCTACAATCAATATTGAATAAACGTTGAATTACCTTACCTGTGGTATTATTGTTGCCCTTTTGCCTCAAAAGCGTTTTTTGGGCGATTTTGAAGGATTTTGAGTTTGCCGTTTACTGTTCCTAATAATAGAAGGACAAGGGAGGAATCCTTGTTTTGAAAGGGCTCCAGCGCCAAAGTGATTTTCCCCCCAAAATCGCATCGCTCCACTTTCAAAGAGCAAAAAGGTAGAAAGATTCACGCTTCTCCTCGAACCTTCCGATAGATAATCCATCCAAAAGGCCTGGAGCTAGCCCTCAAAGAAAATTAAAATCCCTCAATTTTTGAACAGTCAAAACGCATAGCAAGATTCATACATGCCAGCCAGAAACCGTCCCAATGATTGCCTCTTTTTAATTGGATGTTTTTTAACCAAATGGTTAAATAATAACTGATTTAAAGAAGACTTAATTAAGACTTGAATAAATTATTTTGTAAGTGTTTATTGTTTATCGACATCCAATTAAAAGAGGCAATCAGCAGGACGGTTATTGGGGGAAAATCGCTCCGGTGCTGGAGCCTTTTCAAAACAAGGATTCCTCCCTTGTCCTTCTAAGGGAGCTTAAGCAAAGACGTTTTTGAGCGACACACGTCAATCAAAAGTGAGGCCTAATCTCCCTTTTTATATGCCTTGACGCTAACAAATTTGTATTGCTAAGTTTCTTTTCTCTTATAAAGATGAGTTTAATACCCAAGCAGGGTTGTCACTTTGATGATCTTAGGGACTCTCTTTCTAAAGTTCCCTTCGGCATTGCTGCGTCAGCTGACATCAACGAATTTTAGGACAACTGGAAGGCCTTGTTCCTATCCGCCATAAAAGATCACATACTGATCAAAACAGTTCGCGACACCAACTCTCCGCCTTGGATTGACACCGAAATGCGCCATTGGATTCGCAAAAAATATACTGCCCTGAAAAAATTCCGCCTGAATAAAACTCCTGAACGCAAGCGAAAACTCCGTACTTTAAGCCAGACCGTCAAGGTCTTGGTGAGAACTAAACACCAACGATACTTGACGAAAATCGAACCATCCTTTAAAGGTAATCCTAAACATTTCTGGAGCTATCATAAAGCTTTTCTGGGTGGGCGATCTGACGCTAACCTGACGATCTCATACAACCACGAGGTAGCTGAAACCCCTGTTGGAAAAGCTGAACTTTTTAATAAATATTTCTGCTCTGTCTTTCTCCCAAAATCTTAAGGCCTCAACAACAATGAATATATTACCAGCTCTTCTAGCTATCACTGATACGGAAATTTTGCAAATTGAGGTGTCGGTGGATGAAGTAATGGAACTCTTGAGTGAACTAGACACAACAAAACCATGTGGTCCAGACAAAATTCCATCTCGCCTGCTGAAGGAGTGCAGCGAGCAAATAGCACCCAGCTTGTGTTCCCTTTTTAATCACTCTCTAAGCATAGGTCAAATTTCTCGTGAATGGAAATCTGCAGATGTTACACCCATCCACAAAAAAGATTCTAAAGAGGCTGCAAAAAATTATCGCCCTATATCCTTACTCCCAATTGTTAGCAAAGTTTTGGAGCGCTGCGTGGGCAATCCATTTCACGATCATTTGAAAGACTTGATAAGTGTACTGCAGCATGGATTCCTCCCAAATCGTTCTTGTTTAACTCAGCTTTTGTCAGTCCTACACACAGTCGGTCAGTCCTTGGATAATAACATTCCGTCAGTCAGATATGATTTACCTGGACTTTGCTAAGGCCTTTGACACTGTCGATCACAGCGCTCTTCTGGCAAAGCTGAGGCTTTACGGTGTAAAGGGTCAGCTGTTCTGCTGGTTCAATAAGGACTACCTAACTGAGCATACACAAAGGGTGGTTCTTGAGAATGCGGCTTCTCCTTGGTCTCCTATAACCTCTGGCGTTCCGCAGGGGAGCATTTTAGGCCCCCTGTTGTTCACTTTGTTCATAAATGATCTGCCTGACGAAGCTGCTTATGGCGTGAAGGTTGCACTCTATGCCGACGACACCAAGCTATACCCAAACGTTTCGTCTACAGAACACTGTGACCTCATACAAGACACTCTCTCTAATATGCACGTCTGGTCGCAGTGCAATAATATTAGATTTAATAAGTCCAAATGTAAAGTACTAACTGTGACTAGGAAAAAGACTCTGATTGCTTTTGACTACACACTTGATGGCACAGCCCTGACACACGTTTCAGAAGAAAAAGATCTTGGCGTCATCATAACTAGTACGCTCTCTTGGGACTCACACATCCACACTATCACTGCAAAAGCAAACAAGCTTCTTGGTTTGCTTAAACGAACTTGTCCCCTGCTTACTGGCGTCTCTGTTAGGCACTCACTTTATTTGTCTTTGGTCAAGTCACAGCTGTGTTACGCCACCCAAGTCTGGTCGCCCGCTTACGTTTTTCTGAATGCTAAGGTGGAACAGGTGCAGAGACGTGCAAGCAGGTGGATTGTACGCACGCGCAGAGACGAGTCGTGGTTCAAAGAGCTGCTGACGTTGCTAGACTTACTTCCACTTTCTCTAGATTGTGAACTTAAAGATTTAATCTCTTTTTATAAATGCCTTTACTGTAGTACCGATTTAGATGTTCGGAATTATGTATCTTTTGTTTCCCATGATCGTACAAGACTAAGTAACTCCTTTAATCTTCGCACCCCTTTTTGCAAAACATCAACTTTTCAGGCCTCGTACTTTAACTGTATAGTTAAACTATGGAACTATGTTTGTAACCTAGCACCCCCAACCAGTTTTTCCTCGCCTACTGCCTTTCAACTTTTTGTTCGCAATTTAATGAGCACTCACCTGTCGCGGGTATATGAAATCAATTACCCCTGCATGTGGACTCTAGTCCCTACGTGCCCATGCCACTCGTAATTTATTTTATTTTTGTACGAATGTTTGAGTATTCATTTTATTTTGTTTTAACCTAGGTCTTAATCTAGGGGCGGTGCTCGCATGGGACGTTAGTCCCGTTGCACCTACTCCTTTTCGGTGTTTCCTTCATTTTTTCTTTTCTTTTGTGTTGTATTATAAATTTTATGTTATATATTACAAGAGGAGTACCCAATAAAGCGGTGGAAAAAAAAAAAAAAAAATTTCAAGTTGCCGGGTAAAAAAATTTTATGTTATAAATTACAAGAGGAGTACCCAATAAAGCGGTGGAAAAAAAAAAAAAAAGATTTCAAGTTGCCGGGTAAATACAACAAGTAGGCGGGGAATCAAACCGCTAGGGATTTCTTTTGGTTCTATTTTTCTTCTGTTTTCCAACAAAAGTAGACGGAGGGCCACTCTCTTAGTAGCCAGGGAAAATCCCCGGCCCCGGCTCTTAATGACAACCCTGCCTGAGAGTTTCAACCAAACCACTGTCCAATGATGCAAAAAGTCCACTTCCGGTTGACGTCCGTCGCTCAAAAATGCTGCAGCGTAAGGTGCTCTAGCAGAGCCTGGTGGCACCAGTGTTGCCTAACTTTTGCTCTCAGGCAACTAGAAAATCTCAGATTTTTCAGACAAATCATATGCTGGGAACCCTGGATTTTACAGTTTCAGAGCACTGGGGTTCCCTTCAATTTTCCTTACTGCACAGCCTTGATTAGGAACAGTAAACAGCAAACTCAAAATCCTTCAAAATCGCTCAAAAAACTACTTTTGAGACAAAAGGGTGACAATATACCAAGAACAGGTAAGGTAATTCAACATTTATTTAATATTGTTTATAGACTGATATTTAGCGATGAATTGCTATAGCTGGTGAAGCAAACAGTAAATCCAGTACATTTACTATAAAATAGCAATCGGTTCGCAAACACATTGTGCGGGCCCTGTGGAAAAATAAATGCATACACACATCCGCTGTTTAAAAGTCAAGACTTGAGGAAAATGTCAAGCTATGTAGGCACATACTATTAAAAGTCTCTCCAGCTCAGTGATCACAAAAACTCTCTATCAATTGTTAAGACATAAATAATTATTATCTGACAACGCTGATGGTGTTTCCCCACCTGTTTCATTGTAACAGCAGTCTGCACTCGTTGTGCTACAGCATCAGTTCTTGAACTAAGTTGCAGAAAGTGCAAGGCCTGTCAAAAAATAATGAAATAATATTGGTTCTCTTAATTCAGACAAAATCTAAAGGACAGGAAAAAAAAAAGATTTTTTACAGAATAGTTCCAGAGAAATTCCCTTTGAATTCATGCAAACCCCAGACTTTACAAAGAATATTATTTGTATGCGCTCAATTAACTTTTTTGCCACCCAGCAATTTTGCAAATTTTCAAAAACCTTTATTATGATTGCAAGGACCTGAAAATTGCACAAATTGCTCAAATTAACCAGCTCTTTCAACTTTTGAACCTTAATTTGTATATAAGGTAATGTCTTCTATGGGTTACCTCATATGCTAGTGAGCAAAAATAATGTAAACAATGATATCATCATGAGCAAGGGTTTGCCTATTTAAAGTATAAACATTTTAAAATTTCTCACAACAATAGCATGGACCATAAACAAGCAGAGAGAGACAGAAGGGCTTTCTGGGAACTAAAGGGTTTATATGCATTTATAAAGCATTTGCACATATATCTTTCGAGCTGACATATGACCTTTGTTAGTGATTTCCTCCCAAACAGATTGCCAGAGACTTTTCAAGTGTGGTTTCCTGTTTTGGTCAGGTCTTTATATAGGTGACCAGTATGGCTTCACCCTACAGCCGACTTAAGCCAGCATCTTGCACACAGCAAGAAACAAACACACTCTTTATAAGTACCCATGGGTATCAATATTATGGCATAGATAAAAATGCATCTTGACGTTTGGTGTTGCAACTCCCATGGTGACCTTGCCAAGATTTTTGAGAAAAAAGAAAAGTTTAGGAACTGGAAACACTTTCTGCCACTTGTTGGAATGTACCTGCACAAAGAGCTGATTATTGCAATGAAGGTAATTACTGGTATTGTATTTAAAGAGGATTTCAATTTTGCAATGATAAATAAAAACTTACTGTATACCCACAGATCCATTAGGTCTCATCAATATTGTGTATGGCTTACACTTTTCAAGTGACAAATCAATTTTTTTTGGTTGGTTATATTGTATATCACACATCACTTTGGATGTATCAACTTTGAACTTTAATTATTCTAACATGCTCTTTCTAGCAGTGTCAATAAATGTTTGCTAACTGGTCTTACTCAGAAACTTTGAATAATCAAAGTTTTATTCATTACTTTAAATATATGACCAATAACCCACTTAAAGTACTAACAGTGCTAGTGTACACATATTAGAAGAAAGAACTCCATCTGATGTCAATCTACTCACCTGATACTTTTGCCTAATGGCATTTTCAGCATGTATTCTAGCTCCATCCAAGTTTCCCTTTTGGATAGCCTTGAAAGATGTGAAAAAAAAATTAAAATTCACGTATATATAGTTCCACAGAGGAAACAACAATTTTTCACAATGCTTTTTTTCTGTATTTCAACAAAATGATATGCTACAAGACTGGCATTACTTTTATACCGCCGATCCCATGTAAAAATATGAAATTTATATTTGCATCAGATTTCATTTGAGCATGCTTGTGATTGACAGTCCTGATCCGCCAGAATAACTTATGACTTCACACATAAGGGAAAATTATGATACTTGTTAAAATTGTTTGTTAGGACTCAGGCTTCAAGATCATGAACTATAGTTAAGTTTAATTTTCTTTTATCGCTCCCTTACAAGGGCATATATGTCTTTTGTTTCATTGACACGAAAATACAATGTACTTCAAATAACTTATGATGTATTTCTCAGAAATAATTATTGCCATCAATTCACATTTTACTTGCAGTGAGTACATACAAAATTTATGGGGGTCCTTTAATACCGTAGTGCAGTTATGCAACTTAAATACACAGCACTAAATAAATGTCGCCCAAATATTTAATGTCTTGTTTTTTACTAAAGATATTTATTACTAATGTAGATAATCTGTGTCCACCATTAGCTGTCATGAAAGATAAACACATAAATAAAGTTTTCATTTCATTTCATTTTACCTTCTTTAACTTCAGTTTCTCTGCTTTTTCCTCCTTTTCACACTTCTGAGACGACCTCGCTAAGTTCTTGGCTGCAAACTGATGTAAAAGTCAAAGAAAAGTAGTCACACCAAGTAGTCACTCTCTTAATGGACCCCTCTGTAAATGGACACCTGTCAGTTGGTCCCTGCCTTTCTTTACTCCCTTTATTTGTTTCTCTATGAGACAGACACCTCTCTTAGACAGAAACTTAGTGCCGGTCCTAAAGATGTCCTGCTTAGAGAGAGACTTGACCGTATGTACATTACTACTTTCTGTAATTAGAGGATATTACATGGCTGTGCGGAGATAGAAAATTTCTCTTCAAGCGTTGAAAAATATTTTTCAACATGAGAAGAGAAATTGCATATCTCCAAGTGATGTAATGTTCCATTTATTATATAAACACCAATAAAATTCCAAACCATTTCACTTAAATATTTTTTTGCTGTG